TGTTTACCTTTTCATTCATTTTGGCTGTTTTTCACAGAGACTTTCTTAAAGCTAACTAGTTTCTAATTTGACTTTTCAAAGTAAAAACTGGTTTTTATCATAGTGACAGGCTTATGGAGTTTTCAAATATTTTCATTATGTTTATAAAACTACATTTTAGGGTTAAATATGTTTTATTTTGTTTTGTTTTTACCTCCTCTTTAAAATCTTTAACGTTTTTGAGATATGGTCTCACTGAATAGTCCTGGTTGACTTTAAACTCATTCTGTAGATGAGGTAGTCATAAACTCAGAGAGCCTGCTTCCACCTACAGAGTGCTAGGGTAAAAGTGTCACCATATTGGACCCTAAATTCTTTCTTTAAGAGGAGAAGGGGTGAGCATGTTATATGTTTCTATGAAAATGTTGTACAATATAACCAAGTATTTTGCATATTATAAACTGTTAATTTCTTTAAAAGAAAAATGATATTTGTCTACTTTCTAATATTCTCTCAGGGTACCCTATCATTTACAGAAAAATTAAATTCTAAAACAATAATCAAAATAACCTTGCATGTTTTTTCTAATTCAAGCTGCCAGTCTTAAGTAGCAAATACTAAAATGTTATGATGGCCATTTCCGGACAGCACTTACGAAATTTTAAGTGATGTACTTCCAAATTCACAACCAACACACAAAGCGTCAATACAACATTTTTCTCCTCAAAACAAACTATAAATATAAAATTATATATAACAATAAGTATTTCCCAAAGTGATGGGCTGTTTTAAATACTAAACTGAGAATCTGATTCACAACTGAGAATCTGATGTCACTGTGTATGTTAGTTATTTTGAATCCATAATTCTCAACATCTTCTTCAACTCTTCCCTTTTATTTTGAGAGAGTCTCACTGGGTAGCTCAGGCAGACTTCATAGTCACAATTCTCCCTCAGCCTTTCAGGGTGCTGAGATGACAGGACTGCCCCCATCATGCCAGACTCTTGAGTCTCATTCTTGCCTTAGTTCTAGCTTCCTTTACATCCAGTTTTTCTTCTTCTGAAATTTAGTCCCAAATGAGTTTTCTTCCCTGTCCCCTTACAAAATTTATTTAATATAGTGAGTGTGTGTGTGTGTGTGTGTGTGTGTGTGTGACAACTTTTAGTAGTCAGAGGGAGACCTCGATCAGGCTATGTAGCAAATTCCTTTACCTTTACCAGTAAGCCAGCCATCTTGCTAGCTTTCAACTGACTCAAAAAATTTTATTAATAAATAAATATAGAGCTCTAAGACAACTATAGTCAGAGAGAAATTACAAGTTTAACTTAAGGAGTCTGTAGAGACAGCTCAACAGTTAGACAACTCCCTGCTTTTACAGAAGACCCAGGTTTAGTTCCCAGGACCCATTCTGTAGCTCGATTTCATGGGATTTAATTCTCTTTTCTGGTTCCTGTGAGCACCAGGAACACACATGGCATACACGATACAGTCAAACACTCACATTATAAAAGTAAAAAATCTTTCTTTGTTGGGGGATGTTCGAGACAAGGTTTTTCTCTGTGTAGCCTTGACTGTCCTGGACAGCTTTGTAGATCACGCTGGCCTCGAACTCAGATTTCCACCTGCCTCTGCCTCCCGGAGTGCTGGGATTACACATATGCATCACTGTGCCTGGCTTGTAAATAAATCTTTTTTAAAAAGGTTTAACTAAGAGTCTACTCATTCTGAAAGATTATATAAAACTACCATCCATGGCAAATCAACTTAAATATTAGTAATTTATGATAAAAATGCTTTCCATCCATAAGCCTTTTCCCCACCAATGCTGAGGTTGGAATTTAGAGTATGCTAGTAAGGCAAACCAAAACTGAAACGCTCAGTCGTCCCATAGATTATTAGAGAATATTTATATTCAATTATAATTCCTTTCTGAACAACAGCTGGACTTGACCTAAAATATCAACTAAGAGTACTCGGTTTCAAAAATAAAGTAGCACTTAAACGAACATTTCCTGATTTTCCTGTTTCATTTTATTTGAAAACAAAGCACAGGCCATATTTTTAACTCAATTGTAATTAGACCAGAAAAAAATTTCCATCAGAAGTACCCTTAAGGAATCATAGACACAAATGATAAATATTACTTAAAAATGAATTATTCCATTTTTTTGGTTAAATCAAAATCTGGATGGCACTAAATTAGTGGATTGCATAAGACAAACTAAAAAATCTCTTATAAAGTTATGCATGGTTGCACACATCTTTAATCTACAAAATGAGACCTAGTCTCAAAAATAAAATAAAATAAAATAAAACCCTTGTCATGTTTCATGTGAATAGGAAAGGAAGAATAAATATGTTTAGGGAGGAATGCTCCATCATGAAATAATTATATGATATTTATATTTCATATCCTCTATTATATTAAATAAATTTAAGCTATGTATCCACATAAGAATCGATCTTATCATTAAGTGATTTGAGAATCTCCATATAGAAGAAAAAAAAAAGAATTTGAGAGCCAAAATTTCAGTACTAACCCAATAGACTGTTAGAGAGCATCTATAGCTAATATTTTTCAGATTTAATATTTATTTTTGTTGTTTTCTGTATGAATGTTTTGCCTGCATGTATGTGTGTGCACTATATGCATGCCTGATGCCCTCAGAGGGCAGGAGAGGGCAGATCCTCTGGGACTGGAGTTAGAGATTAAAGCCACCACATGATGCTAGGAGTCAAACCCAGGTCCTCTGCTGGAGCAGCAAGTGCTCTAAGCCAACTCTTCAGCCCTTCATATCTCTAAAAAATGATACACTAAAATATGCATCTGTTATATCTGATTTTAAAAGCTAGTTGTCCATTTTCCTAAGCATGTAACAATTCACTGTTAACAATCACATAAAAGTTGCTAGAACAACCACAATTTTTTTTCTTTTTTGAGAAAGGGTTCCACTATATAGCCCTAGATGGCCTGGAACTCACTATATAGACAGCTGGCCTCAAACTGACAGAGATCCACCTGCTTCTGCCTCCTGAGTGCTGGGATTAAAGGCATGGACCACCATACCCAGCCTCCAAAAATTTTTGATGGTAACAACCTTGAGCCTGATACTAAACAACAGTTAGTCACACATGTACACATGAATTTTATGTTTCAAGATGGTCAAGCATGGCTGGTAGAACCATTTTGGTTGTTTTAATTTAATCAACAATTTGGTTGTTTTTGTTGTTTTGTTGTTTGGTCTCACTATGTAGCCCCAGCTGGCCAGGAACTCCCTATGCAGACTAGTCTATTCTCCAACTCATAGATATTGAACCATCTCTGCCTCTGGAGTGCTGGGACCAAAGATGTGAGCCACTGTTTCCAAGCTAGTTGATAAGTCTTTTTTTTTTTTTTTTAAGATTTATTTATTATTTATACAACATTCTGCCTGTACATCAGATCTTACTATAGATGGTTATGAGCCACCATGTGGTTGCTGGGAACTGAACTCAGGACCTTTTGGAAGAACAGCAAGTATTCTTAACCTCTGAGCCATCACTACAGCCCAGTTGATAAGTCTTAACTAGACCTACCCTACAATTAGCTTGGCTAATTTTATCAGCTGACTAAGTGGTCTGATATCACAAGTAATAAATGTTGTCACTATTTTAGGTGAAACACTCAAAGAGAGGAAATACTCAATTTGGGGGAAATGTCTTCAAAAGTTTTAGGTAAATGATTAACAAAATCTTTAATTTCATAGTTAGTTTTCCAGGCTCGACAACAGGGTAGTTGTATAAAAATCAGATAGCTGGAAACAATCAGATATCTTATACAATAAGAGCGGCACAAATAGAATTTAAAATGTATAAACAAGAAAAACACAAATTGATAGTAAGAGTCAAAAACTTCAGTCTAGACAATTTTGATTTTAAGAAAACATGGAGGAGAAAAAAAAAAGAAACATAAAAAGGAAAAACTGTTGAAACTTAGTAGAAAGAAACTCCATGTAATAAAAAAAAATGCCTTTTTGTATTTATTTGACAATTATGTCCTTAACTTAGTTGAAGTCTTAAGTCACTAGTTTCTTTTAAGTTAGTTTTTCTTATATTTAGGGACTTTGAAACTGGAAGAGGAGATATAAAATTCAAGGATTTGTTTTTACCATAACAAGACAACCCCCAAATATTATGAAAACTATACATTACTGATACTATGGATGAAGAGGACTTTCAAATTTAGGAAACACTTGGCCAGCAAACCATTATGTAATACCTATTTCATACTGCTCTATCAATTTCTTTAGAATCACTGACTACTTTTTTTTTTTTTTTTCTTTTGAAAGACAAGTACTGTCCAGGTTGACTTCCTTTCTTAAGGCTGCCATTTTTTTTTTCTCTCTCTCAGGAGATAACACTTCATAAATTCCAGATCTCCAGGTATATAACAACTGCTGTCGTAGGGAACAGAAAACAGGGAGGAACAGCGTCAGCATTCTGAAGATACCTTTTCACATAAGCGGTGATCATGACGGATAGGACATCTCCCAGCTCCTCAGAAACTACAGACAACACTGCCACAACCAGTGGATGGAAGCAATGCCATCTTGCGTCTGACGTTGCCCGAACACCAATTTCAAACCTAATCCCATCAGTTATCTCAGAGTGTCCTCAAACTACAGGAAGATGTAGATAAAGGTGATGACTGATTTGTCCAGCCTCCACGGGACACAGGACCAGGTTAAAGGACAAGCGCAGCCTTCACGTTTCCAACTTATACCCTCAGGGGAATAGCACCCTAAGGGGGCCAGCATCTCCTAGCTAACCCTAAACTTAAACCCTCCCGGTAGTTTCTCCTACTAGGGGGCCCCAGGAGAGTAGTTGCGGGGCTTTGGAGAGGCCACCCTCGCTGGGCCCGAAAACCAGCGACTCCCTCACAACGCATACTGACAGCACCTGAAGTGGAAGGAGCAAGGATGCTCAGGGGACAACCTCGGGGTAGCGACCCCACCTGCCCTGTCCAGCAGCCCCGACTCACCTGCGGAGCCGATTTCCATTCATGGAGCTGGGGGGAGTGCTTCACGAGAGAACGGTGCCGCCGCTGAGGCGAGGGACGGGGACACCCTCCGAGAGCTCGGGGCAGAAGGACAGCTAAGCAAGAGCAGCGGGAGGCGGGAGGCGAGGCCGCCGGAGCCCGGTCCGGAACTTGCGTCGCCCGCTGCCGCTGACGGGTGCAGCGCTCCCCGACCCGCCGGCCGCCGCCGCCGCCACAGCCGCCCGCTCTCCCCGGTCGCCCCCGGAAGCCCGCTCGCGTCAGTTCCGCTCTCCGGATCGCGCCCCGCTCGCCGGCTCCGCACTCGCCTCAAGCCGGAGCGCTGCGGGCGCGGCCAGCCCCGGGACGACTCCGGGGAGCTGTGGGCGGGCGGGTGCCCGGCCGGGGCGGAGCCGCGAGCGCGCGGCCGCCCCTGCATCCGCTGTGCCTGACGGTGACAATCCCGAGCGAGGGCCAGCCTCCCCCGTGACAGCCTCCCGGGTGGGGGCCGCTGCTTGAGGCGACGTCGCTGCCAGCCCGCGGAGTGCACCTGAGGTACGGACAGCGTACCTGAGAGGGACGGGTGCGTCCTTCCTCGGAGCTCCGCCGGCCACGCCCGCCGGGAACACACGCACCCGGCGGTGACCACCACAGCAGATTTCGCCTAGTACGCACGGTTGCTTTAACCACCGTTTTTGAGTTTTATTTTGTTTTTTAAAATTCAGTACAGTTTTAAAACAGATAAAGAAACAGGACATTACGTGAACACCAGACGGAATTATTCCTATGTTTAAACACTCTCATCATCCGTTTGAGGAACCTAAACGAGTTAAAACGCCTTGCTAGGGGTCCATGGCCCTTCTCCAGACTCCTCAACACTATCTTACAGCTAAACTAGATCGGCTTCAAGTTTCCTGATCTGGTCTGGTGCTTTTCTGCTGACAGGAGCCCTTGGGTTCCCTTGGCCGGAAATTCTCCTCTTCCCATCCCATCCCAAACTTTCATCTCTGGCATCCTTTTCTGGACCACCTTGGTGGGCTCCCCTGCTAATCTTCCCGAGGTAACCTCTCTCCCAGTCAGGTTGTGGACTACTTTATGATCTGCCTCCAACCCTTTAGAATGTAATCTGTACAGGAGCCTAGATCCAGCACATTATCACAATAACAGTACATCCTTTAAAAAAGAATTACCTGGCTTACTGAAAACAGATACCCTTAGCAATGATTCATTATTTTTCCCTGTGTCCCAATCAATCAGTAACGTTTTGACGATATATATGTATACTATATGTATTAAAGAAATTGAGAAAGATTTTCATTTTCACTAGCCCTTCCCCATTATGGGTTTTTGGATTAGTCACTCTATCCCTTTGGACTTCAGTTTCCTCATCAGAAAAAAAAAAAAAAAAAAAACAGGAAGAACAACACGCACAATGAATGCACAGAAAGCACAGAACCCTCCCAAATGTTAATAACAAAAATACTTACTACAGTTATAATTTTGAAGCACTTAATGAATGTGCTTACCATATAATAAATGCTTAATAAATGGAAGGGCCCATTCTGCCTCCTTTTTTCTGTTGGCTGAAAATACCCTTCCCAATTTTAAAATATCAAATCACCAAATGAATCAGCACATCTTAAGTCATGTTCAAGCTCTGATTATATACAATCTTTACCTTGATCTAGGCTCTACGAGTAAATCTCAGCCTACAAGGGCCTATTATCCCCTCATCTTGATTCTGGAACTGGTTCCTTAAATGAAGGCAAGTTTATCTAGTGTCTTACAGACCACATGGTGTGGTGACGCAGTGGTTTGTTGTTTTGTTTATACTTGTGGGTATCTGGTGTTCAGGGAGGCCAGAAGAGGGTGTCAGATCCCTGGGACTGGAGTTACACATTTGTGAGCAGCCATGTGGGTGCTGGTAATCAAACTTGGGTCCTCTGGAAGAACAACCAGTACTCTTAACCACTGATTCATCTCTCTAGCTCCAGGGTACTGTCTTTTTGAACACTGTAGCAAGATTTGGGCCCTTAGAGTCAATAAAATCCAGTAACTGTCTACATGTGTTCCTAGCTACTTCTGCTATTTAGAACCACACCTTTTTAGAGTAAGCGCATGTGAAAGGCTCATGAATTAACATTTAATGTAGGGAGGTAAAGAAGTCTTGGAGATTCTTGCCACAGCAAAGCTATACGAGGCTTTCCCCTGACCGAATACCATTTTGGGGTTAAATGCTTCCAACGAGTCTAGACTTAAAGACATACAGTGTTCTTACCTCCTTTTTTCTTTAAATTTATTTATTTTATATACATTGGTTTTTGACTGCACATATCTATATGTGAGGGTGTCGGATTCCTTGGAGCAGGAGTTACAGACAGTTGTGAGCTCCCATGTGGGTGTTGGGAATATAACTTGGGTCCTCTGGAAGCAGTCAGTGCTGTAACTACTGAGCCATCTCTCCACCCCCATCTACTTCTTTCTTGTTAGACATAACTAACCTTCCTAATTCTTATGATTCAAGGGATAACTCCCATTTAAGAAGGGATAATTTTGCTTTGCCAAGTGGCATGAGAAAATAATGCAATGAGACACGAAACTTGAATTGCTAGGCATCTGAGGGAATATTTCCTTGTATTAGAATGAAACATGGGAGGGGGAGTCCTTCTAACTTTTGACATGGCTGCTTTGAAGGATTGCCTTTTTCATGCTCTCTTGTGTATCTTTCCAAACACATGAGCCTTCCTCGGCCTATAGCTGAAAGTGTCTGGAAAATGAGAAACTTTATGAAACTTAATGTCCTAATTCAACATTATTGAATATGGAGAGCAGCCTGGCAAAAGTGTGGCTGAGGCATAGGACTTCTATCTTTCACCATAACTTTAATCTCCAAATCCTAACTGCCATGAGATTCTACGGTCTAAGGCAAGAGATATTCACAGTACCCATCCTTACTTTACCTCAGGGTATATGCTACATCATAAAGCAGAGAGAAAGCTGCTCAACCAGAACTAAAAAAGGATATCTAGACATAAGTAAACAAACCTACCAAAACGTGGGTCCTGGGACTAGACAGTCCATGTCAAGTTTTGCAAAGTGGACAACTGCTAAGTCTTTCAAAATAGAGAAATGAACAAAACAACAAAAACCTTTGTGTCTTCCTCACAGTAATAAATTTATCTTATTTTGTCCAGGAATATGTCGTTCAAGTTCAACCAACCTCTTTTAAGCTTTGCTGTTGAAAGGATCATGATGTCTAGGTGGCCGTGTCCCAAAGGAATATGACAGGTGGTAACCACAGGCTTAGTGTTATAATTTGCAAAGTCATAACACTTGGCCTCCAGAGGACTGCTAGACCTATTATATGTACACTGTCTGCCAGTGATAATTCCTCAGTGGGCTCTCTGCCAGAGACCTTCTCTGAACATCTTCCCCAGTGTTCGGAAATCACAATGCTTTAGTAGCACCAGGGAAGATGCCAGACCTTACAAGCTTGACAACAAATGCCACCAGCTTAAGGTACAAAACCTAAGAATCTCTGCAGTTGGGGGTGTTTGAAAGATAACTTGCTGACATCAGATCTTTTTCTACTCTGCTTACCCGAAGATGCAGAAACATGTTTTGGCTTACTTAAAGTTCAGGATTATGAATTCTATCCTGTGCTCCCCCACCCACGCACCTAACGTCCCTCTCTTACCGACCTGGAACTCATCATATAGACCAGTCTCTGCATCCTGAATGCTGGGATTAAAAGGTATGCAACCACCAAACCTCAGTATTTTTTTTTTTTTTTTTTTGAGACAAGGTTTCTCTGTGTAGCTTTGGCTGTCCTAGACTCGCTTTGTAGACCAAGCTGGCCTCGAACTCAGAGATCCAACTGTCTTTGCCTCCCAAGTGCTAGGATTACAGGTATGTGCCACCATGCCTGGCTTCAGTATCAATTCTTGATTTACCTCCTTTGTACTAATCATTTCTAGCTCATATATCCTCAAATACAAACTCTCTTGGTATCTGCTATTGTCCTGATATGACAGAATAGAATGTGGTTTCTGTTCCTAGGGGTTCACAGTTCCTGGGGAAGACAAGTTTTAACAATAAGCACAGCAAATTAGGTTCTGTCTGGTGTACCAAGCACACAATCTATTAAACTGTTTAGGGACAAATTAGGATTTATTAATTTTCTTTTCTCCTAAAGAACAAGAGGAATTTGAAAGTGCTGTTAGATGGACAATTTAGAAGTCCTAATCTCAGCTTTGATTTTTCCCTAATACTCATTTTTGAGAATTACTAGAGAATGACCAGTTATATTGTAAGATTCAAGACAATATGGGGAGTAGGATCATAAAATAAGCAAGGATGGCTGGGAGTGGGTGAGATTGCCTTTCTGTTCTATTTTCTCCATTTTATTTAAACCAGCCCAAAATAAGTAAACTTTACCTAGAGGTGACTTGGCTGTCACTTTGCCTTCTTCCCATTCACAAGTCTATACAGCCTATTTCTCTTTTCCTAAGCTGTCTCCCTTGCACATGCAGCCCTAGCAACCTTTTACACAGTGTGACTCCAGTATTTCTAACAGTAGTTTCCTATTTTGCCTGAGTACCAAGGCTGTGTTTACTGGAAACTTTAATTGTATTTCCCATTAGAATCTCAAAACTGTAAGGCTAGCAGGGTGCTGTGGGCTCCAATTCTAGTACATGGGAGGTAGAGCTCGGAAGATTGTGAATTTGAGGGTCACCAGGGATATGAAATAAGACTCTCCAAGAAAACTCCTCTTTGTATACCAGGGTAATTATCTTTCATCACATATTCCTTCTATAGTCTCGCCAATCCCATCTTGATAAGAATGTCTCAGTCCACTCATGTTCACATAAAAATATAAGCTCTTCATCCAACTACTTTTCCTCTATCGGGCATGATGTCCTACTTCCCAAAACTGCCCTTTCCTTTCCATCTTCACTGATAGAGCTTTAGGCCAGTCACTTGTGATCTTTTGTACTGGAGGACTCTATGACCAGTGTTCTCCCCAAGAAACTTTAAAGACATTCTGTTTTTCTCACTTTTGAATTGTGCCTACCTTCTCCCACAATACTCCTGGAACAGTGTTTTACATGTTTGTGAAGCATGCACAGGGACCCTGTATAGTATGATTGCAGGGCAATCTATTATTCCATCCTAAAACCTATCAGAGACATAATTA